CGAGACCCAGTGCCCCCACCTTGCTGATTCAGCCCACATTCGACACCCTTGTTGAGCCACCTAAGGGGACCCTGGGCTGGAGGTGGGGGTGGGGGAGGGGGGAGCGTGTCACCAGATCCCTCCCAGGTGGCCAGAGAGAAAGGATAGACTCTCTAATTACCATTTAAGGTACTCTCTGCCTAATGATGGTTTTAAGTCAATTATATTAGCTTTTTTACTACCTTTGTTTTAAAAAAAAAGCTGGGCTCACCAGGTTGTAAAACTCTGAGGAAACTGGAGTTCAGAGAGCTGCAGGGGCTGCCCAAAGCCACACAAGGAAGTGGGGGTTGGAGGGGGTCACCTAGCGCTGGGCTTCTCTGCCACTGAAGGTCACTCCTCTAAGCCTGTTTCCTCCTCTGTACACAGGTGTCATCCTACCTCACAAGGCACAGGGCAGTTGGCTATTAGTGTTATTTCCATTTCAGAGATGGGGACACGGGGCTGAGGCTAGAGTCCTGTATCTAGGGCCCCATACTCTGTGCATCCTCCCCCTCCTCCCCCCTCCTCCCACAGGTGTAATCCAGGTCCTCCTCAGCTGACCCACAGCCGCTGCCCCACCCCTGCCTAAGAAGACCCTGAGCTGCCCACCGACAGGGCTCCCAGCCCCACTCCCAGCAGGGCTGCCTCAGAGGCCCCTTCTGGGGTCCCACAGGGTGGACGAGGGTCAAACAGGCAATGACAAGACTGGCCAACTTGTCCCCCTGCAGAGCTGCCCTTCTGCTTGATGGACACTAAGCCGGGCCTGTCCTTCCACGACCAGAGGCCTGGCAGCTGGAGGGCTTCTGTGCCATGCATGCTTGGCTCCCGACTCGGGTGCTGGGGGGCCACCCGGCCCTCCCGCCTGCACTGAGAGCAGAGCGGTAATGCCCTCTACTACCGCATGGTGCAGGTAGATGAGGCCTGGCCTGGCTGCCAAGAGGAGCCCCACCATCACCGCTCCTCCGCCAAGGGCTCTCCAACTTTCCCTCCTAGGCATACCCACACCTGCTTATTTCACAGCCAACGAATTAACAGTCAGCCCTGGGAACCACGTTTCTCCATCACCTGGGAGACTTGTTAAAACTCCCTCCCCACACCACTCAGGGGCCCAGCAATCTGCAATTTTAACTCACTCCCCAGCAGATTCTGGCTAGAAAGCCACTGGGTTTACCAGCCACAGCCAGCTGACAGCCACCACTTTAAATAATAATAACTGTAATAATCATCATCAGCTTCCAAAATGTATTGAACACTTCCTCTGTCTTGTGCTGTTCTAAGGCCTTTTAAATGTTTCTTTTTAATGTTTTTATTGATTGTAGAGAGAGAGGAAGGGTGAGAAAGAGAGAGAGAAGCATTGATCGGTTGCCTCCCGCACACACCCCAACCAGGAATCAAACCCGAAACCTGGGTATGTGTCCTGACTGGGAATCAAACCAGCGACCTTTTGGTCCCTGGGATGATGCTCAACCACCTGAGCCACACTGGCCAGGGCTGTTCTAAGAACGTTTAGACTCATTTACTCATCTAATCCTCACTCTGGCTTTAGGATGCAAGTGTCACCACATTTCATCAGATGTTTGTTTTACCCTGGTTGGTTCCTCAGTGGTTAGAGCACTGGCCTATGCACTGAAGGGTCTCTTCAATAAATGGTGTTTGAAAAATTGGACAGATACATGCAAAAAAATGAAACTAGACCACCAACTTACACCATACACAAAAATAAACTCAAAATAGATAAAGGACTTAAATGTAAGACGGGAAACCATAAAAATA